TTTTAAGTCATAAAAAAGGATCTGTAAATTAAAAAACATGTAAAGATTAATATTTTTAATTATCAATTGTATCAATTTTTAGTTGTAAAAAATTTTCTAAAAACTGTGCTGGCTTCCATATTTGACTGATATCTAGCCCATCCTAAATACCAAATGATCGTCATTATGTGAGCAGAGCAACATACAGTTCTACGCCCCACCAAAATTATTGTAGATACACTTGCAAGTATTTTCCCTGGAATTCGAGACTGATATAATGTTATCATCATTAGAGTGCTCCAGCTCATGAATTGGCAATTCTTGAGAAGATGTAGAACTTGCAGATAATGGAGATGGTGCAGTATAATTTACAAATAACACTTTTGCCAACAAGGGTGACAAATTCTGTCTGATGATCGGAGCTGAAAAGAAATAAATCATTAGAAATATTGTAACATAATAATTTCTTTCAATGTTTATAGCATTTATTCTAGATAAAAAATAGTTAAGATTTTAATTTCGACCCAGGTAAAAACCTAATCAAAATCGAAATACATAATATTTGTGACAGCTCACAATTATTTAGTGCAAAACTAAGAAATCTCATACTATGACAACTAAATAACAAATAGAATACATAAATATGGATGATACAAACACGATTCAGGTACAAATATTTGTGTTCATCACACAAATAAACACCAACCATGGTTCGAACCCAGAACCTCTTGAGGTGTCGCAACCTTAAGTTCTGTATAGACACCACTCCACCACAGAGGTCATCATTTGGGTTTGATTTTATATAAATATTTTTAAAGTATAAACACCATCCCATTAGTTTTTAAATACTATCTATAGTTAATTACATGCTCGGTTTGTTTAGATGTTTTGCATTCCATACAAAGCATAAGCATAATATAATGATAAATTATAACTGTCAAATAATTGACTTATTATTATTACTATAACTTTTTTTATTATAATTAAATGAATGTTGTTTCTACTTACTTGTTGTGGCATAATCCTTTTCGCAACAACAGATCTTTTGTCAATATTGTTGTTTATCATAGGAGTTCTTACATAATATTAAAGATCTTCCATAATGTATACATACATTTTCATTACCAATACGTGACTGACTTATTTCAGGCACTTCATTTATAGTAACAATCAACACTCATGACACACCACACTGTTGCTTGGTATCTGTAGGTAAAATGTAAGGGTTACTATTAATATTTTCAGTGATCTATGTTGATATGTAAATACCCACAGCATTTTAGTCGTACATGCATCGAAATACTTACGTCTAACTACGAATAAGCCGAGTCGACGAGAATAACAGGTTCAGTTCAAGTTAAAAGCCGAGTCAACATGTAAAACTGAAATGTGGTCATAGTTAAAAGCCGGGTCAATAATTAAGAAGTTTCAGATTCAAGTTCGAAACTAGGTAAATACATAGAATAAATACGAAAACAACAGAAAGCACTGAACAACAAAGTGAACGAATTGTACCGCGAATGTAATGTTTATTAATGACTATGACAATTAAAAAAAGTGTTGCCATTAACAGATGTTAAATTGTTTTCAATCGATTAATATCGATTGTTAATAAATAATAAATTATATGTTATAGTATGATTATTATATCTTTACTAATTATAGTTATGTAAAATAATAAGGAAAAATATTTTTGTGCAGTACCAAAGAGAAAAATATTATAACATGGCGTATTTATTGTACTTTTATTCACTTTCACAACTATTGATTAATTCATAACGATTATCGATTTTCGACAGATTAGTCATTTTAACTTTTTACTGGCAATTTTTTTGTAAATGGCGTACTTTTCACGTAATAGTCGTTGATTAACTTTACAAAAATTACTAGTAACGGTGTGCTTTTTTTAAATCTATTAATAGTTGATAATTTAAAGTATTATAAAATATAAATTGCAATGATAATGAATTGCTAGTCGGCGACAAGCCGTATTTTGGCATTCTCCTTTAGACGTGTTCACTTATTTTAGTCGGATAATGGTTTCAATCTTGTAATACGGTCATCGTTTTTTAATAAGACGAAGAGTTTTGCGACAATTAGGTATGCTTTTTCGTCACATTTTCTTTCAGAAATATGATAGTCTAGTGATATTTTTTTTTAATATGGTTCATAATGTTAATAATGATAAGTAGCTCGGTGCCGTAGTGCGATCGTTGTTGTTAAGAAACTTTCGCAAGTATCGATCACGAGATGGCTGATCAAAAAATTACTATCTCACGCCACTCCGTGCTTCAGAAGGTAAGTTAAAGCGTTAGTCCCGGCTGCATTTGCAGTTAAGCGAGCGTGGCTTCTTTAACCATCCATAAGGAAGGCCCCTGTAGTGAGGACGTAAAAGGGCTGATGATAATGACGAATTTTAATAAATTGAACATACATTTTTCTTTCAGAAATATTCTAGTTTATTATTATTGAAATTTGCATTGATAATTTTAATAAATCGAATATGTATGAGTGAAAATGATGAACCATATTTATGAACCTTTAAACGCCTTTGAACAACATTCCTTTAAATACAGATTTCTACTTTGCTATTCTGTTAAAACAGCTTCGAACTCGACGTCAAAAACTACATAGAGTTTTAATAAAATAACATTTTTATAACCCTTTAAAGTAGGTTTTATTAGATTGAACCTCTACGTTATTGCAACACTGTGCTCGACGTTGAATACGAAGCAATTTTTACAATGAATAGCACAGTTGATTAAACACAAGAATGTTGAAACCGAAACTAAGAGCCCAAACTTAGTATTGATGACCGAGTATCCGAATCGAGTAATGCGCACGCATTACGCGCTATCTCGTAAGTACCGACTTCGGTTACTGTACGAGTCAATGTAGAAAATGAACTTTGCTGTGTGTGGATATATTTGTTGTATCAGACACTCCCTAAAGCGTTACGGATTGTCAGACATCAAGTAGCGACTTGATATCTCAACAATGTGTGTATGGTTGATTATTTATTATAAATAAAATAAACACCTAAAAAATATAAAAACAATAATAGTCTGTACTATGCGAAACAGTCACAATCTTTAAAACTTTATCAGGTAATTAACGGCAACCATAATTAATTGATTGTAATTAAAAATAAAACATAAAAGCTAAAAGAAACAACGGCTTCAGTATTCAAAGAAATTCCGAGAAGCGAAACCAATCTATCAAATATACATTTCATAAAGTTGTTAATTACACCTGGCATATTAAAGTCTGTGAATAGAAACTGTTACCTAATTATAACGTCGGTGGTAACAAATTGTTAGGTACACGTGTTTCCACACGATACAATTGTTTTGTATTATGAAAGACCGTCGATTCATACACATTTATGTTGGTATTAATCTTCGTTTTAGAAATTCGGTTGAATAAATACTTATCTACAGGTAATTACCAGTAGTTATTTATCATTTAAGAATTCTTCGTTGCGAAAATTCTGATCAAACATAGTACTATTCTGTGGTTAAATTTCAAAGGAGTTATTCAAAACCGTCTGGATATTTAAAAAAGTATATGAAAACATATGACATCTGGATTAGACTTCGAGAATTTCTCAGGGAATTTCTATACTATGAATAATCATAGAATCAAAATCCCTGAGAAACTCTCTTGACGTTACTAAATTGGTGCAGACAGTTCTCTGCCTTTTCGCCGAATAATTTTTGTAAACTCATTCCATTGGTCGATAAACCAACCACAACCTATGATTGACTGAAAGATTAAAGTTAAAACTTGTTTATAAAATTTGATAATTTTATATAACCTCACGTGTGATGACTATACATAATAACAATGTCAAAAATTTAAATCATTAGAATTACAACTTGCACCATTTTAAAAATGGAGTGCCACTTGTGTTACACCCATCTCTAAAATAAGAATGACGATTCTTAACGAAAAAGAACGATTTTTAAATCGAATCCAAATCGATGAAATGAAAATTGCGTTCACAGTGTAAATAAAAAAAACTTAGTTTTAATATTATTTCTTGCTTAAATTATACAGTAAAATAAGTTTTCTTCTGCTATCACTGTTATTTACAGAATTGAAAACGCTGAATCTTTGCTATCAATTGCTACAAAATCAATGACATCAAAGTTGAGTATATGGTCACACCCATTCTGCTTTTTTAATTAACACAGCAAATTAACAATCACAAAACAAAGGGTAATGGCCTATTGTTATTCTTGATGAGAAAGCATACCGTGAAATTTATCTCGGAAATTAGGGTACGGAGTGAGTCTGGTCAATGGCTTTGTGGTTGGTGTAATGATGTAATTTTAATGTTGGATATATAACGCCATTACTTCTAACGTTATACTTAGTTTGGCGAACTAAATAAGAAAAGGTAAACATCCCTTTATTCTGAAACTGAGACAAGAGACAAGATCAGGGGTGGTTACGACGAGTCGAGACTTTCCCACGGGAAAATACTTTTATTAAGAATAACCGTTATAATAATGTTAGTTCTTTTTTTAGAGTAATATCTTCAAAAAATTTACTTCATTTGTTTGCCTTTGTGTCTGTCTTTTTTCTCACGAACGTATCAAACGAAAATATTAAAATCAATTTATTTAAGTCTATAATGTTAACAAGTCAAACTTTTAAGACAACGAAATTCTACAAGATGAGGCTGCTTATTCCGTATATTTTGACACTAGGGTAGCTCTCACTATGGGTTTCATGATTGCACAACGATTTGTGAGAGTTTCTCCGCAAGATAGAATCGAACAAAGATTAACGACATAGCTACCAGTTAGCAAGCTAAAGTACCAAATAGCAGGGCAAATAGCTCATAAAACGAATGGTCAATGACAAACAATGTTCCCGAGTTGGTACCACGTACAGGCAAACTTAGGACAGCAACCTGCGAAATGAACAGCAAAAATTGCGGGATCTCTCCGAAACCTGCATCCTGCATGCTGACAATCTATCGAAGCAGAGGGAAATGCGAGAGACCTATGTTTTTAGCAGTGGGTGATTGTCCTAAATCCTAATCCTAATCCTAAATCAACCTGAATAGTGAATTTGAAGTGTGTTTTTTGTGATTTTTCTTGTGCAAGTGAATTGTCTGATTGTGAACTCAATTGATAATAATTTTTATCCCAGAACCCCGGCTCGTTACAGTATTTACTATGTTACGTGAATAAACATAAGAATCGAACGCGAAATGGATATTCGTTATTGTGAACTCCATACCGACATGTGTCGATATCATATAGCAAAAGAAACGAGACTTATTTATCGACGGCAGTGAGTTCAACTCAAAGAAAACAGAAGGAAATGTTCCTGACACGTCACGTGATACAATACAGGTGTCAATTACTTTCAATCGGTAAATGTAGGTTCAAAACGAAGGAACTTAGTAGTAGCAGTAGTAAACGTGAATGTTTTATTTTGAATAGATAGGATTAATAAACTGTAACTAAGACATGAATACTTATATAAATGTATTTCTTAAAAATACAGAACAGTATTATTGGAGACCAGAAATAAAACGGGCAATAAAATGTAGGTAATTAATTTTCTTATACCATTTTATTTCTACATAGATAAAAACAATTCTTAAGCCGAACAGGTTTCCAAATACTCAGTATTACACGATGTTAACAAAATGTTACACTGATTTTATATTAGTCATTCATCACATAAACCACATTATTATTTGTGTATGTAAATTCAAAAACACAAATGGCTATTTAAGGTGAACATTCATATGTCAGAACACGCACACGGGTCGCACGATACACAAGGGATTCTATTAAAAATTACTATGCTGTTATCAGCATAATTTTGGCATCAAAACTGACAATCACATTTTTCATAGAAGCACCTATTACAAATGCCACTTTAATGGATGTATGTATGACATCGACAGATCCATGCAACGAGCTTCGTGTCATGAGGCCGTTGGCGCGTGTGTGCTGAGGCAATGCACGAGCACCTTTGAAAATCCAAACGAATTGATAAAATAGAAATTAATTTTCGTATTTTAATAATATAAACGTAAGAAAAAAGTTCCCATAGTTAAAAAAATTTAAATGTAAAGAGACGAAGAAAAAGATGAATGGAGCCAATGGTACGACATACCGTTACTTCTAGACCAATAAAATAATCGGACATCAGACGAATTCGTATCTAAAATAGTGTAATTCTAATAGAGCATGATATTTATATAATAGTGATATTTTTACGCTCGTTGCAAATCTGTATTATTAAAGAATTTAGAAATAAATAAAAATAACATTAGATATTTGGAGATACATTTTTAATTAATTATTTGAGCGAGGCGCCGCAAACCGGCATTAACTTCTAAGACACTATACAAAATCTCCCGTGGGCTCACCTGGAAATACCTACTCCTACTTTCTATTAAATAAGAATGCTGGATTCCTTGTTGGTAAGCCCAATCGACAGCCATACCGGAGCCTCTTATAGATTTGATATTCATATTAAATTTATAATTTCTCATTTTATGTACACCATTCATAGCCTGGAACATAAAATTTAATGTGAACTGAACATATAAGCTTTACCAAATTTATTATTTTACGATCTTTTTTTATGACTACCGTAAGCGTATAATGAGTTGCACCATTAGTTAATTGTAAAATGACGTTATAACTGTTAACTACAACCACTCAATACTATTTGGTTAAAGTTGTGGTAAACAGATGGAAATATGAGTAAATTATTCTCAAATTTTAAGAAAACAACTTTGAATAAAAGAAACAAATGAATTTAAAAAATTATCCTTAAACTGGTTATGATGTCCTCGTGGTATTAAAAAAAATGTGATATTTGATTTTCATGCTAACGTTTAGTACTTGTTAATTTTCTGTTGATGCTCTGTTATGATTCTCTCATCTATAATTGACTTCCAGAATTTAATATTACCTTTGATACTGTAATTTATTAGTATATCAAATCTACTTTATCCTATCACTTTGAATACAAATATTTGTCATCACTCGAAAGAAGTAAGGTAAGTCGCTAGAATGTATTATTTGAAACTTTGATTTCAATAAGTCGTTTATCTCAGGTTTTACAATAAATGGGCTACGACTGTGTCTTGACACTTGGACTTGTCTATTAAAGAGTATCTATATAATAAGTTTATGGATAAATGTACAAGTAAACGTTTTATCCAAAAACTTGCTATTCCCCGCTGTGTTGGATTGTGTCCCTCTACTCTGCCCGTGTAAATTTAGCTTCTTTTTGGTGAAAGAATTTTCATGATGAGATCAGTATTTCTGAAGATTACACACTATAAACAAATAAAATAACAAATTAAGAAACTTAAAATCTTTTTAGTGTTAGCATATCTATGCTACCATTATATATATTACAATTAAAACCAGTTTATAGATAGAATGTTTATTCCCTAATAAATTTTTACTAAATGCTTTTGTTAAAACCTAGTCAAAGCTAGAATTTACCAATGATATATTTGGTTTTTAGATACAACTAGTTGTCACTTCGTGCTTAAATTAGAACTAGTACTAGAGAAACTAATTTGGGATTCAATTCGAAATTATAACAAGATATAGTTTCGAACTGAATTATACCAAAGAAAGAAACAATCAACGAGTTACTCGTAGGTCAGGTTAGAACTGTGAACAAAAAAAGCGAACGAAGCGAGCATACCGCAGTAGCGGCCGACGAGAGCCATATAAGTGTGTATTGATCTAATTTTATATAGTGGTTATACAAAAATGTGAAATTTTTAAATGCCGTGCAATATGATGAAATAATTCTATTGACGAATACTCTAATAAGTTTTACCATATAACAGTTTACCTACGGTCATTTTGTGAAAACACACATTTGACAAAGATGTTTGTCGATTGTTATGTTTCTCCTTATGCAATCTGCTTATATGAACGCCATAACAAGGCTGTATAGGCATACAATCCCAACAATACGTGAATGTACCAACGTACGTTTGTCGTGTGACGTGGTCTTTTAGTCCTGTATAATAGAAGGACTCAGCTCGACAAACTATCTTGGGTTATTGATAGATAGTAAATTAAATGTTGAAAACATATTGGACACGTCTGAAATAAGCTAAGACAGTTTTTGGCATATATTGCATTTCTATAAAATCTAATACCTTCAATACGGTATTAGTAGTTATGGTCGCACCTATAAATCTAACTTGAATGAAATATATAAACTCCAAACTAGAATCCTAAATAATATAGTCTCGGCTAATGTTAAAAAATAATGTACTTAGTAATGAGGAAATTGATCTCTTTGGGCATTGCTGAATTCAACCTGTAAATATTTTTCTGAAACAACACTATTTTGATAATACGATACAAATTGACCGTCAACATTCAGTATTTACTCGAGCAGTTGTCGAGCGCCGGCTGTGTCTCGTTCGTGCAAATAATACATACGGCGAACGCACTGCAGCGTACCTGGTATCCCGATTTATTAATGAAGCACCCTCAGAATTAAGAAAAAATATTAGATCCATAAATATCAAAACATAACTTTAAACACACTTTTTAAACAACTTAGCATAAAAGAGAATTGTGAAATAGAGGCACATCAAATGTGTGTGAAGTGTATAAGTATGTACCATTTTTATAAATCTATTACATTCGTACTGATATAGATATAAACAGCATTGACACAAACCTCCGTGGTTTACAAATGCTGTAAAAACTTAAAAGGTGTACCGATGTTTAATCCTATAATGTTAATAAAAACGCCATATGGTGGCTAAAGTTTAAATTGAATGTAGGGTATATATATTGTAAGGAGAGCCGTGGCAGAGGTGTCGTCGGGTGCAGGGGTAACAAAGAGAGCGTCATAGGGACTCGGTGCGGGACGGACGAGTGCGCGTGCGCGAGCTTAGGTGTTATTTAAGAAATTTATCGCGATTCGGTGTTTTTCTTTAAAATAGTTTCACTTTTGATAGGAACCATTTTTACCTTAAAATATGTATATACCTATATAGAATAAATAGATTACATTATTCTAAGAATTTCAATTGAACTTTAGAAATTATTTATTGTAAACCACAATAAACTTACTCTGATTGCTATTGATTCTTTTTCAGAAAAAACGTAGGGTCCGAAGTAATTGTTCGCACATGTATCCGGAGACGCTCCTTTGGAGCCCCAAAAGGCACTAAAAGAATATTTAATAATCATTGTTATGATTTTAAACTCCTAATTTAATTGTTCAACTATGAATTATGAAGTGACAGATGTGATTAAACGATATATATATATTTTTAATTTAAAGCATTAACTCATCAACTGTTGGTTAATTGCTCAGTGGTAAAACTAATTGTAAGTACAGCGCTGGTTTGAATCCAACTGGAGTTACTGTGAGAATCCACCAAAAAGAAACTACCGAGAAGTATTTTAACACATAAAAGATATTTTTATTTTAGTCCATAGGTTCTTTTTATTAAACTCACAATGACATAGATTTTAATTTAGTTATAATAGACAAAACATTTATAATCGTAATAAGGTTTTATTACAACCTTCAACACCCCCTCTTAAGAAAACCTTATAGCCTCTAAACATTAAATTAACAAAATAAACATTTCTTTCTAATAGACAATAAAATGAACTAATATATACCTATAATAACCGACACCTCGTTCAAAAACAACTATTCAAAATTTTGTAATCCTAACAATTTTCGAAATTTTTCAAACAAAGTTTTATCAAGAGATTTTGTAAGAATATCTGCTAATTGTTCTTTCGTATTAACATATTTCAAAATAACAGCCTTTTTAGCTACTTGATCTCGAACAAAATTATGCTTGATATCTATATGCTTTAAACGCTTTGAGTCAAGGCATTCAGCGATTTTTATTGACCCTTGATTATCTTCATACAAAATAACACTAGGTACCTTTTCGAACAGCAATGTATCATTTAACAGTTTAGTTAACCACGCAGCCTCAGTACATGCCTGACTAAGTGCAATGTACTCTGCTTCAGTAGATGACAAGGCTACACATTGTTGCTTTTTAGAGATCCAAGACACAACACAATTAAAGATTTTAAAAACATATCCAGTTGTCGATTTTCTATCTTGTAAATCTCCTGCCCAGTCCGAATCTACGTAACCTTCAATAATAGCTTCATTATCATTTTTAACAAAAACTAAACCTAAATCTATAGTTCCTTTAAGATATCGTAAGACCCTTTTGATAGCAATCCATAATTCTTTAGTAGCACATGACTGGTAACGACTTAATATTGAAATACTATTTGCTAAATCTGGTCTTGTTGCTAACATACAATACATAATAGCACCAATAGCTTTTCTACACTTTAGCTCAATGGTTTCATTTTCAGAATTATTTAGTTTTACTAAACTGTTCTTAACATTTTGGTCCATCGGTGTGGACACAGCCCTGCAATCATACATGTCGAAACTTTTAAGCATCGTTGCTATATACTCAGATTGGTTTAGAGTAGTACATCCAACATTTTGAATTAAATTTATACCCAAATAGCATTTGGCTATTCCTAAATCTTTCACCTTAAAGCTTTTCTTTATGAAATTTTTAACTTTCAGTAGCTCCTTTTCATCTGTAGACATTATAAGAAAATCATCAACATAAACTAAAAAATAAGTTTTAGTTGTAGAACTTACTTTAACATAAAAACAATAATCATTTTGACTAGCGACAAAACCATATTTGCATAACGTTTCGTCTAATGTATCGTACCAATATTTAGGAGATTTTTTTAAACCGTACAGAGCCCGATTTAGCTTGCATACTTCATTTGGACCTACATTAAAATTTTTAGGTACACTTACATAAACAATTTCATTTATCTTTCCATTAAGAAACGCAGTGCACACATCCATTTGATGGATGAGAATACCCAGTTGGATGCTAACAGCAACAAACATTCTAAACGTGGTGAGTTGTGCAACAGGTGAATAAACCTCTGATGGCGAAAGGAAAACTGCTTGTTTAAAACCACGGGCTACTAACCTTGCTTTATACAATTCACTTCCATCTTCTCCTTTCTTAATTTTATAAAGCCATTTTGTGTCGATTGGCTTACAGCCATCTGGTTTTTCGACAACAGTCCAAGTTTCATTTTCTGCAAGAGACTCAATCTCTTTTTTCATTGCGCTAATCCATTTATCAGCTTTGCTGCTGTTTATAGCCTCTTCATACGATTGCGGTTCATAGACGTCCGCAAAATGTAAGACACTATACATTTCATACTCACCATATCGCTCGGGTTGGTGAATATTGTTTCTGTCTCTCAGAACCATTTTTTCTGCTTGTAAATCTTCATTGTTATTTATTTCGATCGTTTCTTCTTGATTGCTATTTTCACTATGGTTTTCTTTTTCTTCCTCATTTTCTGAACTATCTTCGTTAAAATTACAATCTCTAGTTTTTCGTGACGTACTCGGTTGATCTATTATTTTTTTTATTTGTTAAAAACAATACGTCTCTTGATACAACAACGTCATCCATTTCTGATACATAGATGCGATACCCTTTTGTGTTTTCTTCATACCCAACAAAAATACCAATTTGGTTTTTCTGATCCCATTTTTGACGAATTTCACTAGGAATATGATATGAAACGCGATCACCGAATACCTGAAAAATGTTAAAATCGATAGATCTATTTGTCCATAGTTCATATGGGGTTTTTTTCTCTACGAAACTTGTGCCAGTTCTATTTAATACATAAACAGCTGTATTTACAGCTTCCGCCCAAAATCTTTTACACATTGACTTAGCTTTCAGCATAGTTCTAGCGGCTTCTACAATAGTACGCATATCCCGTTCAGCTCTCCCATTTTGTTGAGGCGTGTATCTTACTGACCTTTGATGTATAATACCATGATAATTTAAAATGTGTCTTACCTCGTTGTTAACAAATTCCAAACCATTATCCGTCCTTAAAATTTTGACTTTATGTCCAGTTTGATTTTCTGCTAATTTGATGTAATTTTCTATGCACTTTTTGACTTCAAATTTATTCTTGATAAAATATATTTTTCTATAATTACTAAAATCATCTTTCATCAAAAGAAAATATTTTGAATTACCTATTGATGTAACTTCCATTGGTCCGCAAAGATCTGCGTGTATTAGTTCGCAGGGTAATTTCACACGACTTTCACTACGCTTAAAAAGATCCCTATGTTGTTTACCAGCACAACAACTCTCACAAATAGAATTTGAAATATTTTTGTAAGTTATACCGTGCTCTGTCAGAATATTTTTGATTTGTGTCAAATTTTGATGTGCAAGTCTTTCATGCCAGTCATTCAAATCAAGAACAACGTTACACGAAACAGGTTTGTCGTATGAACGAAAAATCATTTTAAAAAGATTTCCACACCTTTCAGCAATAGCTCTTACAGAGTTGTTTGAGTCTAATATTTTACATAATTTATTATTTATAGTGGTATAGTAACCTTTGTCAACAGCCTTGCTTACCGAAAATAAATTTACCTTTAAATCTGGGTACATATAAAACATCCGACATAGTAGTTTTTATCCACACTTTACCGTTATAAGCTTCTAAAGTAACACAACCGATTCCTTTAACAGGTAACATAGTCCCGTTGCCAATTTTGACTTTCTTCAGATCTCCAATAGTCATATCTGTAAAAACATCCTTACTTCTGCACATGTGTTCCGAAGCTCCAGAATCCATAAACCATTCAACTAAATTTTCATCTGTTGTTCCTACAAATGCGTTGGCATTTTGACCACTTACGTTATTCGCATGGGCATTATTAAATCTGTTATTTTCCTTCTTGAGCTTAAATCTGCATTCTTTTGCATAGTGGCCGAACTTTCCACAGAAATGACATTTGACATGTGATTTGCAGAACCGTGTTTCATGACCAAATTTACTACATTTTTGGCAAGCTTTACTAGTAGGATGTACCTTTGACGAATGAGATCTAATTGCTAAGGCTTGAGTCGGTTCATTTACATTTAATCTCCTTTCTTCTATTAGCAGCCTCGACGTTAGTTCACTGAGCGTTTGGTTTTCTTGGGATACTGATTCCCATGCAGAAACAAAATGTTGGTATGTCGTTGGTAGTGACGTTATAATTTTTGTTATCATCATGCTTTCGGAAATACTTTCTTGGGTTTCTTCAAGATTATTTCGGATTTCTTCTAATTTAGAAATAAACATACTAATGCCCTCATCTTCGTACTTTATAGTGAAAAACTGTTGCTGCAGTAGATGTTTGTTAATATTTGTCTTGGGCTCAAAAATAGATTTTAATTTGGTGAACATCTGATATGCGGTTTTACATGCTAAAATTAAACTCATCGTTCCTTCTTCTAGTCTCGTAATAATTATTTCCTGGGCTTTCGCATCTTTATTCAAATAATTCTCATCAGCTTCAACTTTTTCGATCATAACATGCGCGTATAGTTGTTTGGCTTTTAACAATATTTCTATTTGAAATTTCCATAAAACATAATTGTTTCCATTACCTTTTAGTTTGATAAAATTGGCCTCCATTTTGAATTTTTTCCTTGCTTAATCTGCCCTCTCGTCTTTAATAAAATCGTCCGTTTTATAAAACGTAATTGACTATCTGGTGGTATTTTCAATTGCCCATAACCTGTGAGAATCCACCAAAAAGAAACTACCGAGAAGTATTTTAACACATAAAAGATATTTTTATTTTAGTCCATAGGTTCTTTTTATTAAACTCACAATGACATAGATTTTAATTTAGTTATAATAGACAAAACATTTATAATCGTAATAAGGTTTTATTACAACCTTCAACAGTTACTTTAAACACTTATATAACCAATGTCTGTTCGCATACCTAAAATTCTTCGTCTTATATATGCTTGATATATTATTATTAGAAAAAGGATAGGATATTTATTAATTCATCACAAAATGATTAAAATAAAAGGACTCATTTCAAATCAAAGGATGAATCGGTGTCGGAGGTTTATTCTTTTTAGGGTCATCTACTTTACCATCAATATGTAAAAACCTGTCTTGTTCTTTAACAAACAAGAGAACAACAATTTCAATTTGTACCTGTGGCCATTGCGGATTGATAGACGATAACGATAGCTGATATTTTCTACGCTACGGCTTTACAATATTTCTGAAGCATTTGCAAAAGCTACCTGCTACACAAGTATTTTTGCTCGTTATTTTATTAAATATATACTTACTCAAAATTTCTACTAACATCGACACCATCGCACTGACCGCTGAGTCTCCTTCTATTCTTTCTCCATAATCTATCTTTGTTCATACTATACTCGTATCCATCGGGGTTGGCAACGGGAATGATATACCTGAATACGTGGAAATTATCAGTGCTTAAGTTAATTGTGTTAAAAAAAATCATTTTTAAATTACCAGCACAACCGGGAAAAGAGAATCAAATTAATGATCAGAGACGGTTAATTGATACTGTCGGTTAACGGTTGATCGGCACCTTCGTTGTCTTAAATATTCCATAATTTTTTAAGCTCTAACAACCCCGTGGAGAATCGAAACCGTTTCAAATGTCGCAATTTTACAATTGTTGTAATAACTTCTGAAATAACGCCTATTTTTATTGAATACGTCCGTTTTCAAGTCAGCAATTCAGCATGGAATCATTATACTAATTGCCGTAAATGAAAAAGCCAAAACACCATCCTTACCAGTCTTTGTGTCTGATATAACCAGGTTGAGTATTAAAGTTCGAAGTAATCGTCTCCACAAAATACAACAAGGAAGATACACCTAGCCATTCGCGACCATGCATACCCGCTTCTATTAATACTGCTCCATTGCCTATTTTGCCGTTCGTAACTTTTAGCATCTGAAAAAACTCATCATACGTCAATTCTTCTATATATAGGATACATTAAGTGCCTCAATGTTGATAGTATCATAATAGTTTCAATTGAATGCTTTAGGAAATTCTTCCTCTTCTTCTTGACGTTGGGACTAATTACATTTATTCAGTTCTGTTGAGAATCTGTCCATAGATAATAACGATTTTGTATGGAGATCCGTAGTCATCTGTTCAGCTTCTTCTTCTGTTCAGCTCTCACGGCAACCAGGTGTAAAATGAGCAAAAATGTGTCTGAATCATACACATGATGAAGATGAATTCAGCGTTATTCCGCAAAGTTCAGCCCTGTACCGTAATAGGTCTCGACGTTTCATCGTTCAGGTCGCGACCTTTATGGTTCCTGGATAAAGTAGTTTAGCGTAGTTTATAGCTTCTTCCAGCGCCGAACGCTATAGATCGAAGCAGTACTGGCTATAAGCAGCTGACATAAGCACAACAGAGTATAAGTGTGACCACAATCATTCAGAAAAACGCGAATAGAGCTGAATAAATGTGACTAGTCCCTAACAGAAATTGTTTTTTTTTACTTGTTTCAAAATTTGATTTCATTTTTGTTTGATATCTTGTGCATTCATATCATTATTTTATTTTTACCTTAATTTCTTTATTCTGGTTTGTTTTACCGATCGTACGAAGAATACAATTCTTCGGATGAGCATCAGCTTTGCTTTTGAGGTAGGCGTAAATGTCCGCCAATTGTGCATACGAATCCCAGTTTACTGAAAGTAATTTATTTTATAATTATAACAAAAAACTTTTACTTCCTTATTATTACCTTCGATGAATAAAATTGATCAAAAATATTTAAAAATAATACTAATATATTGTAAAATGGAATTGGGAAAGGCGATATAAACTTGTACCAAATGGTTGCAACACTTAAACTACACGATCTCGGTCAAATGATACTTCATAAGATAAGTGAGTTGTCTATTTGTGGGTTTTAAAAGGTTCTCTATAATATATTGTATAATAGGACTGTTTGGACATTAAATATCTCTATTAAGTTTGAAAATCTTTCTTAAACTCTAGCTTTAAATATGTTTTTGCAACGGTTAATTGGAGAACTACGTATCTCTTTGTAGTAAGAAAATATTAAAATATAGTATATATTTTCGGACCGATACGTAGGTTGATAACACAGGTCTGCGATGAATAGTTTTTTTGAGAATTTTAAGGATAACTTGCTCATGTTGACATACATAATGCAAATATAAACTTTTTTTATTGTAACACGTCACATTTTTTTTATCGGCATATTATACAATATTTATAATAAATTTTTCATACACCCTACAAATGAACCTCGACCATTTAGACAGATTACCCAAAAATGCTGCAGAATCAGTCGGTTCACGCTTACAAGAGAACAATTTATTGGATGTGGAAACGATATTTTAGTGATATCGAAAAAGCTTCTTGGTCAACAGCAAGGGTACACAAATTTCCCGTATTATATTTGTGAATGGGATAGTAGAGCAAGAAACCTACATTGGGAAATATCCGATTGGCGTATTAGACCAAAATTGGAGGTTGGAGTAATCATAAAAGTATTGTCAAAGAAATTTTAAACACCTATAAAAACTTGGGTTGTAATATGAGTTGGGAAGTCCATTTTTTGAAATCTCATATTAATGTTTTCCCAAAAAATTTAGGCGATTACAGTCCATCAAGATATAAAAGAGATGAAAAGAAGATTTCAAGGTCGTTGGGACGTTAATATGATGGCGGACTATTGTTGGATGCTATGTAGAGATGAAGTATAAACTCATTATCAAAAAACCATCGAAACGCAGTTTCTTTTCAAAGTAAACACGTTATTGATTGATTTTTTTATTCATATTTTATTTTACTCTTTTTTATTTCATTCAAACTCAATAAAGCTTATAAAATAGTAAAAAAAGACTTCATTACTTTTTAAAATTTTTGACTTGTAGTTATTTATATGCTCATATTATACCATGTAAATCTGGGAAATGTGACGTGATATATACCAAATAAATGCTGGTTAATATTAATTATAACGTAATTATAACGAATAAGAAGAGTTTATGAAAAAAGCTTTTCAAAGAAATAATGTCGCAGGCCGGTGTAATTGATATGTTAAGTTACTGTCGAAACTTTGTAAGCGCGATGCAGGTGGTTGCAGTATCATCTTATGACTATGTATGGCGATTTATAGTCTTTGTTATAAATATAATTTATTGCATTATAATTTGTCTTATAGTTGATCATTTAAACTCGTTTTATGAACGCGTCAACTTGAAAAAAATACTTTAAAACTTTACAAGTACCTTTACGAGATCCAGATATTTTCAATGCCGCCTCCTTTTCAATAGCTTTCTGGACATCATCTATTAATACCGTGTGACTTATATTCTGAGATTCAAGGAAACTTTTCCAATATCCTGTGTCGTTTCCATTCAGTAGAAAATCTATATTACGATCATCAACATGCCAAATATCTACACTGAAAATATTAAGTTATTTTTTACTAAGGTTATTTTAGAAATGTTAGATGCAAAATAAACAAACAACCAAGAAACGTCAAAAAAAATATGCAAATTGCCAGTAAAATCATAATTTATTCAATCAATAATAAGAATTTAATTACAATAGACATACCCATTCCTAAAAGTTTTTCGGTTAGATCTCGAGACAAATTTTTGCCCTTCACATTAGTCGACCATACTTGATATCCTTCATAATTTCTCTTACTATCGGAATCATCACAAAATATATACTCTAAAAACAAGGTTTTATAAAAAGAAAATAAGAATAGATAATTTGAGTTAATTTTCTAAAAAAAATACTTAAGGAAAAATACCTTTCAACGAAAATAGTATTAAGAAAACAAATAAACTCATACCGCACAAGAGTTAATGATATAACCAGAAATCTTAAGGAGAAAATGAAATGAACATTTTTACGATGACTTTGTATGATAAGGAAACATTTAATTATTAATTCAATAATAAAATTACTGTTGAAAATATGAACCGAAATGTAAAGAATGCGTCAACAGCGCCATTCATAAAAATAATATGAGTGCCTGAAATAATCATTATTACATGAACCTTTATCAATAAAGTATTTCATACATATATTTGAGAAACTTGTGACGCTGACTTAATACTTTTTATAGAAATTGTCGCATTAATTTATAATGTTATTTTGCTGATATTGCATAATTTTATTGATGCTGTGAACTATATAGCTTTGCGTCATTATTTTATTCTTTTATTGATATTGATCAAAATTTATGAAACTATTTCTTTCTTTTTTTGCTTTTTTTATTTAGACTTAAAAATATTCAGAAAACTGAAATATGCTCAGTAAGATTTAACCGAAATAGACGGTTCATTTAAGACAGCAGTATTGGCAATTTAAAAATGCTGAAGTATCTCTTCGACATGTCAAATGGCAGAAAATAAATTGGAAACGTCTTCTCGAACGTAACAATAAATACCAATGTTCTCTTCAACTCAATATTGCATTTTATTTCAACAAAGTATTGGAAAACTACAGGTCACGCCAATTATTTAAGGTGGAACGTTATTGTTTTTGAGGAGCTCGGTAGCGTAATGGTTAGCGAGTTCATGGTACGCAAGGTGATAAGATAAGTGACCAAAAATTTATTATGGAGAATCCATACATGCAAATAATCCCTGCATACACTACCCATAAAACCCAACTAAACTTCCATTGTTTTATTCTTAGATGTTTATACATTACCTCGATACGAGTATACTGGGAGGAACAAAACGACCGACACAGCCGAATATTTAATTTGATAAATATTTAAAAATAGAGGAGGTGTAAAAATGGAGTAAAAACTTTAAATTTCCAAGTGTTAACAGCCCTATAACGCGCATGCGCAATATCGATTGTGTACAGATTACAACGAACCGCGAAATACATTAATTTAATTTTTTACCGATATCTTAATGATAGTCGATGCTGAAAATGTCCACTTCCTCTCTGAAGACTGAGCTAAGCACGCTCTTTTCAATGCCGTTGCATGCACGCGCAAAATACATCACATTTCACACAAAACTAAACACAATCTTCACTTAACTAAACTTAACACTCAAGACGAACACTCTAGTATCTTATTAACAAAAATTCAATTAAAAATGCACTAGAACAAAACAAAAATCGACAAAAAAAAACGCTTCGCAGCGGTGCGTCGGCGGTGATGCGCAACCACACTCCAGCGCAAAAAGGTCGACGGCGACTGATCGGCCGGAAAATATCGACAGAATAATGAAGCCACCTGGCGGCTGGCGGGCGGGTGGGGCTTTGATATCGAGGGACGAACTCGGTTCACATTTTTTTTTCGTTTTTTGATATCACGCACTTTTTAATCTTCTTTTTAAATGCTATTTTAATAACAAATTCCTCAATGATTTTAAAACAAAGTTCATTTGTGTTAATGATAAATCGCTGGAAGATTTGTGAGTTTATTGAGTTTAATTAAATTAAACGATCCCGTTGTTAAAGGAGTATTACCCCATTCAAACAATTTTTTTGGAGAATTGCTCTTTTAAAATAGCGTAGGTTAATGTTAAACTGATCTCTCTACAATAATTTAGGAAATTTTACACTCGGTTTCTTAATTGAGAATTTAAAGTTAAACGTCTCAAACTAACATCACTTAGTTTTCGTTTGGGATTTTAGTTTTTTGATGATCAGTTGATAGCAGTTTGATAAAACTAGGACAATTTGACTTGTGAAATTAAAAAAACTTAGGTTATTGAGAATAAGCAGTAGAAATTTTCTACTTTTTTCAAATCAGAAACCGGCTGTTAGTCTGTAAATCGATTTATGCATTTTGACTGCCTTGTTTATTGATTATCTGGTAGAATTTGCATGAAAGCAGTCTTATAAATCACAAACTAGTTTATTTCGTTTTTAGAAATGAAGAAGTCAATGACCGATTTAAAACTTTTCCTTAGTACGTCCCAAAAACAGCTGACTCAGGGTTGAAAACACTCATTTTTATTCAAAAACTTTGTAATTTAATATCTCCGAAACTATTTGACCTAGATTTATATTTTTTTTACATCATATTAAAGTCAAATAGTACTCTCCAGGAACCTCGGGAGTGTCGGTCTTTCTGTTCCACCGAGTATACAGACTCAGGACCATGATTCGGTTAAATTGGTAAGAGTGCCATCTATCAAAAGTTAGCAGAACTACTATAACGTTCTAGTGAGCATGATGCGGCCGTAAGCTGCACTTCTTACTGTTTATTCGCCATGTATACGGCAAGTTAAAACCTATGTTGTACGCAGAAATCATATGTATGTGTGAGTAAAATTCATGTATGGCTTATGGTTTTGAGAGGTTATGATTTTGCACTGCTTATCGAAGTCATTAAAAGTGTAGCGTTTGCGCAAAGGCGCAAGTAGTTAAGTTGTACAATCATTAATCAATCTAATTATGTAGTGATTTATTTACCGTGCACTTTGGAAAATTATAGTTTTGAGCTCTTTCTGCTCTGTGCTAGTGACAAATTAGATACGAATACATTTTCGTTGTCGTGTGAAGAAAAAAATCAATAGTTCCAAAGGGAATGTGAATGCCCGGGTTAGATTTAACTAAAAAAGGCTATATTACTCGTTCTTTAATTAAAAATATTATGATTCTCGTAGTTATAATTGGCTAGCGTTCAGAATTTGCATAAAAATAAGTTTACAAATTAGCAATACTAATAGTTACTATACAAGTGAGGGAAAAGCTTTTAAATAACCTTATAATTTTTACAACAATATTTTACTGAATTAAGTATCAAAAATAAGATATGCATGTTGATTTAATTTATAAAAATCAAGGGGTTGTTCAGATTAATACCAAACGTTTTATTGGCCGCTGATTGTTTACGTGAGCAATGTCTAAAATAATAAGTATTAACAGTTCAGTAGTTCTTACTTTTTCGATAAAATAAAATCATTTTCTGATAACTTATAAATAAATTACATTTCGATGTTCAAAAAACCAAAACACCTACAAATTATAATCATCTTAGACTCATTAGAAGGTACTGAAACTACGGTGAACATTGGCAAGTTTTTTTTTTCAATATACGTATATTCTGCATACCCTATGCACTTTATGTGTATGTGCAAATCTCTGTACACACCCCTGCCGGCTGCACCTGAATTCTTATTAAGTCACCTAAATTACCACCTACTAATCCGCACTGGGCCTGAGGGTTGGATCATAACTCACTCACTCTATTTGATTTGTTCCATCCACAGGCAGTACCCTAACAGTGAGGGCATTAATGATGATAATGAAGCAGATGATAATGATATTAGTGTTGTAACAGACTCGTATGATGATAGAGGTAGCAATTTTGTTCTTATATCGGATCACAATAAATTCTTTCATAAAAAATTTAATTGGGAAACATTTAGATCATCGAAGTAAAGGAGTATGGCCTCGATTAAAATACATAGCATCTAAAAATATTTAAGTATTTTAAAGGACCTTACCTCTTCAAAGTCACATAAATTAGTTTTGGTAACGAGAATGGTAGTCAGCAAATTTTAAAAACTTCATTTGAAGTCAACCTGGAGATTTTTATCACTAATAGTGCTATAATAATAAACAATTCAAATTCTACCTTTGTATAAAGCAGAGCTAAAATTTCTTTTTTTATTATAGCCGACGATAAGACGAGAATAATTTTTCACGAAACTCTTTTGAAGTCGGGCGGTTAATACTCATATTAACGACCCAACCTAAACAAAATCCGCCTAACTACAATAAAAGTTTCGAGAATTATCAATCCCTTTTTTGAGAGATTCTAAAAACTCATATTCTTCATAAGATATACTGCTATATAAAATTATCCGAACTTAAAACATTATCATGTAAGCTTTACAAGTAAAAAGAACAACCAAAACACCCGAAGTAAACATACTAATTTATGTATGTCGGAAATATAAGTAGCGCACTTTCCATGTACTTGCTACTTAGGAGTTGCTAAAACACCACAGTTTTGAAGCTTTAGAGACAAGTTTCCATTCTTATAAATACATATATCTATATTATATGTATGTTGTAATTACACTCTTTATAAACTTAACGGTAAATTGCTTGGAATTTATTTACGTAAATTTATATAAAAATCTTGTGTCTCTATGTGTGTCATTGATAAACTCTGATACTATTAAATCGATTTTAAACAATGACATGTATCTGTTATTTGTTCTAATTTAAAAGATAGTATTAATTTTTTATAAATTATTGTATAAATAATGAATATAAAACTGATTCAAATAAAATTACTCAGCCACAACTACGCATGACTGGATCGGCTAGTCTATACAATTATAATAAAAAATAAACTAAAAATAGTAGTTTTCAAGTACGCGACAGTATCAATTACAAGTTTACTGACTTAATGGAAAGTGATTCTATGCGAATCGGCACTTGATTAAAAGTTTCATGCCTACATGAAACTTTTAATCAAGTACCGATGAGGATTGTTCCCTTGTTAAAATATTATCCATTTCTTTGATGTTGAATTACTTGCTTTTCATATAAAAAGCAATTAAAGATGAAATGGCTTATTAGGGCATCGTTGGAAGACTTTAGAAGTAGATAAAATCATTCGCTCTATAGTATTCTAATATCTTTCAATTTTTTTCTTAAAAAATGTTGCGTTCTCCATCAATTCCAAATAATTTTGGATT